TCCTCTTCTATTAAAGTACGCGTTTTTACATTTTTTGCGAGTTTTTAAAAAGAATTCCATTTTTCAGTTCCCGATCCCGATTTTTTAAATTTTCTTTTAATGTTTTTTGCACAGTTTTGCTACTGCGGTTGATTCTACAGGGGTATAATCTAATTTAATTCCTTTTTTCAAGTTTCCAGGAATAATGTTGAGACTTTTTTTTTGAGATCAAAGGTGATCTCCCGCACTTTCTTTGCTGTTTTTTCCAAAAATTCAAAAATTCGCTTTTTTTAGGCAAATCGTTTTGCGTGTTATCTGTATGATGCAGTGAAGTTGTACGCATCGGCACTGACACTGATTATGAATGAAACAACGCCTGAACAGCTGGCTGGTGGATATGATCCAGTCTCGGATGGGAAGCGTATTATCAGTCATATCCTGGGACGCGTTTATCGAAGTATGCGTTGTATTATTTTTTAATTTTTTTCTTGAAAATCCTTTTTTCTGGTGCTCTGATCAGCAATTTTTCATTGCCCATACCTTTTCAACATTGATGCAACTGGCAATTTCTCCATTTCTTTCCGTTTTGTACTTTTCTCGTCTGTAAAATTAGGCGTTCATGTGGATTCGTTTTTATGCGTTTGTGCTGTGTTACAGCAGTACAAAACGCATATTGTTACGGGGTTGTCTGTGTGTGTGTGTCCCACATTTTGTCTGGCACTTTCAACTCGGGAACCACAAAAGCTAGACGGCTGGAATTTTGGTATAGTGTTCCTCGCCAGCGGATGACGCGGGAAATTTAAATTCAGTCTTCCCGCACCCGCGGGTAGCACGTATGGCTCCGTGAAAGTTTTTACGGGCAAATTATTATCTCGAGAACCATTGGATCTAGGGAGCTGAAACTTTAGGGTAATGACCCCTTGCCTACGCTCAACCTTGCCTATTCAAATTCAGCTTTCCCGCGCTCTCGGATGCCAGTATCAGCCAACCTCCTGTCCTTTGTCCATCTGAAATTTGGATTAGAGGCGCGTTGATAACAGTTCTTGGTCATCAGTATGTGCAGTAACAGCTTTTTATCAAAACGAATGTTATAATGCATCGTTTTTTTACAGGTATTCAAGGATTTGATATGCATATCAACAGTAATGGAGATACACAGGGTAATTACACATTGTTGTCGCTGCAAGAAGTGCAGCCAGTAATGGATTTGAATAATCCGGACTATTATCCACTTAACCATGGGCTATCGATCACAGCTGATTTTGTTCATGATTCTGGTGGTGAGATTCCGATAATACGTTTCAAGCGCAATATAAAATGGCCAGCTGGGCAAGTGCCGCTTGATGAACCGTTATGTGGTTTTCGTGGTAAAAAATGTAAAAAAGGTATGTCTTTTTAGAGTGAGTTTTTTTAAAACATAACTGAAGGTATGTTATTTTAGCGTATGATTAGAGTTTGGATTAGCTGTGGTTTTTAGTCTTGTTCTGCAGCTCTCTGACTAACAGCTTTTCCGGGGTTTTTTTTTTTTTGGTGTTACATCATCTGATAGTTAACCTACTTATGATCCTAAGCCGAGTGTAGCAACCAGGTTGACCCAGAAAGCCTGAATGGCAAAGGCGCGATAGAAAACTTTATGAGAGAAGGAGATAAGAGCGATATAAGACGTTTCGGTCCATTAAGTTATATACGTATTAATCTAACATTCGTTTCTTCTAAAGGGATT